CCTTGTTGAGATTAAAACTCTAAAGATCGAATAGATTCAAATAGGAAAAGCAATCAAACATAGAATATGAATCAAGAATGTGTCGAATGATTAAAAGTCACAGCCTCAAAAGAGCTCGATAAAGAACTACTAATATAAAGGATCTGTAGGTTTTACAATGAAAAAGACGATTACAATACACGATGCATGCATGCACCTTAAATAGTAAAACCTTAATCATTAATCACGGGTGGACAGGCCCAACCCGGATACACAAAAGACTATACAAAATCCCATAAAGACATAACACAAAATACCCAACAATCTCCCCCTTTGCATCGATTGGGAGGAAGACCTTCATTGTTGAACCCGCTTTTGGGTCTTGAATAGATTGTGCATAACGCTAAGAAGAGAACTGAATAAGGCAATGCACCAGCGAATCATGTCGGAATAACACTTCTTCTCAGCAGCAGCATCATTTGCATTACAGCTGCCTGCAATGTCCAAAGCGTAGTTCAAGAAAACTGTAGAAAACAGATGCTTATCTGGCTGTGCGAACAAACATTTTTGAATGTCTCCTTTCTCTCTCTCTCTCTCTCTCTCTCTCTCTCTCTTGAACCACTATGGAACATAACCGTCCAGTTATCAGTTTCGGTTTTCCATATTTGCATCTTCTCAATATCACCTGTTGTGTCTTGGGGAAGGACTGTTGGTTTCTTTCGTAAAACCAAAGCAATTTCAACATCGAACTTCGCAACTTCATAAATATATGAAACCAACATCCTTTTGATGTCAGCAACAACCGGTTCATATTTCTTCTCGTCTTGCATCAGGAAGTGCAGCAAAATAATCTAGTTATAAGGATTTAAGCATGGAAGATCTGCAAGCGATGCAAGCTAGAACTCAAACACTTAATTCACAGAACCTCGAATGGTTTTTAATTTGACATTACGAAACTTTTGGTTTGAATAGGTCCAATCACTTTGACGGCATTGATCTTCTGCGAACTCTAGGTCTGGAACTGAGGTTTGCCATACTTCAAATAAAAAGTCATCAAAGACTTGTCAACATTCGTATCAGAGTCTGGAATGTTCGCAACCACATCAAAACATCGAAACAAGAATGCTTTCGGTGTGATGGGAAAGTCAAGCTGCGAATCGAGTGTGTTCTCCAGCTCGAATGATGTAACTGGTTCCAACCAGTGAAGGCTCGGATTGTCTACTACTTCGTTCAGGATTCGCTCCATGGACCAAGGAAGAAATAGCTGTTTATTCACAGCTAAGGCCGTTTGAGCATCACGATCCGCCTTTTCTTTTTCCTCTGCCTCTTTCGCAATGCGCAAGTTTACATCGAGAATTGCATCACGAGCCTTTCACTTTAGTTTCTCATTTTCTTCTTCTTCTTCTTCCTCTTCTTCTTCTTCTATCACTTTCTCTTTTCTCTTTGAACCCAAAGATACATTACCCTTCGGTTCAGATTCAGATACATTTGGCTTTTCTTGCTCACTTACTTTCTTGGGTTTGTCAACTTTTTCAAGGTTCTTTCGTATCTCATCATTCAATGGGTGAAAGCCAGAAAGTGGTATTTGATGATAAGCTTCCAGGACTTTACTTGCAACAGGGACATCACGAAACATTGCCTCAGGGATTGAGCCAATAAAGGAGAATTTTGAATTATCAGCCAAGATGATATTTGTTGTGTGGAAAATCATAATCGCAGCCATAACAGAATCTTTCATGACAGGTATGTGAAGCTTATTAATGGCTTATTGAACAACCAAAGTCCAGTAAAAAGCACAGGATATCTCACTGTGTCATGTAGTAAAGAAAGTACTCTGGACCAATTGAGCCTAAAGTACGTGCCATAACCAAGGTTTGCTCTAGAATAATTCCCATACATGAGAGTTATGAAGAGCTTTATGGCACAATCTGAGCCTGTGACACGCTCAGAGAAGCTCTTGAAGAGGAGGGTAAACATCCCATTCCACATTGGTGGTAAATTGGGCTTCTTGAACTTAGAAACAGTTGGTAAGGCCTCCTTATAGCCCATTTGGAAGAACATCTCCATGATGGCAGAGTTGGAGATGGATTCAAGATCGATTAAGTCTCATTCTTGTGGAAGACCTAGCAGAGAGCAAAAGCGGAACTTGGTGATACGGGTTTCCCTATTGAAAATTTCAAACGTAATACTTTCTGAAAGTGGGCAATTGAGTATGTCGTTGATAGGAGAACCATGGGAACCATCTCAGATTTAGTCAAAGCAATGACTAGTGGAGAGTATCTTAAGCATTCTACAATGGGTTGAAGAAATCCGTCATACTTGGCCAGATCAAGATCGAGTACCATGTTTTGGTTTGCCTTTATGCTGAGAATCGAAGACTATGTTGATTGTTCTTGGACAAAAAGGGGTGCCTGAAGAACCTGCCATTGATGCTTGTTGAAGGAGATGAATAGTAGAGAGAGAAATTTCTTGTGTATTTGATTTCTTTGAAAACGGTAAACAAACTCAAATTTAAACCGAAAAGTTAACGAATTATACCGACTAATATATAAAAACAAATATGTTAAAATAGTTTTTTTAGGTTAACGAATGAAGGTTATTAATAAAAATCAAATTATATATAATAGGGGTTAAACATGAAAATTTAGAAAATAGAGGGGTGAAAGTAATATTTTTCAAAGTTCAAAATGAAGGGTTTAAAGTGATATTTTAAAAAATAAAGGGCTGAAAAGTCAAAACTCATAAACATAAAATATAAAAAAAAATTACATAAATGGTCCCTATGGTTTACGCATAGTCACAAACTCAGTCTGTGTTACTTGAAAAGACTAAAATACCCTTACACTAACGGATGAACAACAATGACGCTAGCAAAAAGGGTCATTCATGCAAGTTTTGGAAACCACAGGGACCATGTTTGTCAAAAAAATTAGTAGGAACTGATTTTGTGACTCTTGACAAACCACAGGGACCATTTTTGTAATTTTGTCTAACTTTTGTTTAAAATAAAAGCTTAAATTATCTACCACCAAACAAAGTTTTTTCTTAAAAACTAAAAATCGCAGATGTCGACGGAGGCAAACGGAACGGAAAGTGCATCCCCTGGCTACACCCCCGAAATTTCTCCGTTCCCCCGACCCCGCCCCTAAAATGTCCCCCCACCCCTACCCCGAATCCCCTTATTACCCCCCCCCCCCCCGGGGTTGATTTTAGGCTAAAAGAAGTTGTTTGGGCTAAAAGAAGTTATGTTTTAGGCAGTATTGCAGAAATCGACCTTGGCGGCCGATTAATCGGCGATTAATCGTTTGGCGGCCTCGAACCGATTACGATTAGGGTGTTTGGCGGAAATTGGTCAAACTCGGGTTTGGCGGTCTTTGGCGGTCCTCGGCAGTTATAGGCGGGAAATATTTAAAAAAGTCGAAAAAAAATTCAAATATTACACCAAAACTTTAAAATTTTAAACTTTTAAGCTTTCAGAATTTAAAATATTATACTAAATTATTTAGAATTTCAAATTTTTAAAATTTAAAATTTCCAAATACTTAATTTTTTAGTAAATATTAATTTTTTAAATAATTTTATTAATAATTTAAGGTCCCCGATTAATCGCTGATTAATCCCCGCCGAATCTGATTAGAATATTTCACGTATTTTTCAAAAAAAATGGAATTTTTTTTTTAATTTTTTTTTAGTTAATTCAAGTTCCGAAAATAATATTTAAAAAAAGAATTTTTAAATTTTTTCATTTATTTTGCATTTTAAAATTATTTTTCAGAATATGTTAGTATAATATTCTATTAGAATATTTCACGTATTTTTTTAAAAAAAAAAAGGATTTTTTTTATTTTATTTTTTTTTATTTTTTTTAGTTAATTCAAGTTCCAAAAATAATATTTAAAAAAATAATTTTTGGATTTTTCCATTTATTGTGCATTTTAAAATTATTTTTAGATTTGATCTCACGATCTCACGAAATTAGAATGATCTCAAATGAACTTGAACCTATATATATATATATATATATATATATATATATATATATATATATATATATATATATATATATATATATATATATATATATATATATATATATATGGGAAAAGTGAATATACCCTTAAGAGTATATAAGCTTAGATACCTAAAGTCATCATACTACATTGTTTTGTATCATATATATATATATATATATATATATATATATATATATATATATATATATATATATATATATATATATATATATATATATACATTATAATTATCCAATATTCTTATTAATCAACTTCTAACTTGAGTTAACTCCAAGATTTTAAATAAAATTCATATTTATCTTCTTTTTACATAATTTTAACTTTCAACTATAATATATATAGCCTAATAGGTGTTCTGCAAAAAAATATGATATAAGAGGAAAATAATAGTGAAAATTTAAGAATATTGAAAGTAAATCAAGTTAGGGATTGAAGTTTAAGAAATTATAATGATTATATTAAAGAAAACAACGTATTATGATGGGTTAGGGTAAGGTATATTCACTTTTCCCCATATATATATATATATATATATATATATATATATATATATATATATTATCGAGGTCGTCATTGGGATTTCGGGATTGTAAAACAAGGGTTAACCTTGGCCCCGCCCCCAAAAATTTTAATAATACCCCAAACGGAACGGACCACACACGAACAAGGCCCCAAGTAACTTTTTGACATCTCTACCCTAAAACAATCACAAAAGTAGTTCAAAATCCACATGAAACTTCACAATCAGAATCCAAAACAACTAGATAATTTTACAAAATATTTTTAAATGAATTTGATGATGGTAAGAATCTATTTAGCCTGTAAAACTGCTAATAAATAAGACCTATATATGATGACTGTACTTTTAGCTAGCTTCACCAGAAACCAGATTATATTTGCTTAAACCCAAAACACGTGTCAGTAATTAAACAAGTATAAAAATTAAAGAGATTCACACCAACCAAGCAACAAAGGAAAGAAATTGAAGGAAATTTTAGAAATGCAATTGAACAAGATACACCAACATGAGATGATTCAAGATTGTCGTATAAATTGAAATTCCCCCATGATAAAGAAAACATGTTAAAAAAGTGAGGAGTACAAAGAGAAGAGAAGAGGAATGTATTGTATACACAAGATTCTATGCTGCCAATCAGTAGTTTTACCATTTTCATCATTCATGCACAGCTTCTTCAATGAAAAAAAAGAAAGAAAGAAAGAGAGAGAGAGATACATATCATCCATTATCAAACTTCAAACCCCTATTCACTCTCACTACGCATTGTGCTTTTTGTTGAGGTCATATAGCACGCATAAATCTGCTGCTGTCTTCATCTGTCATTCATTAAACACACACACACACACATCATTTATTCATACAAAATTTCACAAATATATTCTCTTCTTATCTTATTGCACCAAAAAATAAGACTTGGTATCAAAATAAAGAGCATAGTAGATTCCAATAACATCTCTAAATTTAAACTGAATTTCTTCCCCCCTGCCTTACAAATAGTGAAATCCAAGCTGGAATTTAAAGGATTGAATTCCATCCATTTGGCAAGCAAAAGAAGCAATGGAATGGAATTGAATTCCGTCCATTTAAAGCCTTACACTTGTGTATTCCAATTGTCAATACCTCTTAAGAAGGTTAAAGCATTTTTAACTAGTATTAACATAAGGCAAGATGAGATGATAAAGAAGATTAAGTTATTATATCATGAAGATACCTGTATAATATTGACTAACTGCTTGGTTGCCCAACCAAATACAAGAAAAGCAAGTAATGCAGAATTTATCAAACTTTGTTGTGCAGCACCAAGCAAAACCTATTAAAAAAAAAAAAAAAAAAAAAAAAAAAAAAAAAAATTCACATCTGTAAAAACTTTAACAAAGAAAAGACAAATGTAAGATTCAGGCTTCTTACATCAGTTATCTTTTCTGACTCCTTTGCAAGAAGAAACAAAGTTATGTAAAGAACCTACATAATCAAGATCAAAACTTCAGTTTGTAATTTGTATTGAGCAGTAAATGGGAATTAAAAATAATAATAATAATAATAATAATAATAATTTTTACCTCACAAGCTATGCAGCAGTATCCCATGAACATCCTGTTTCCATAGTATAACTTAAATAACCAACTGGTGCTGTCTTTCACATCTTTATGATTAGATTTTCCAACCAAGAATGTACTGCATTCAAAAAGGGTGGATATCAATCAATATCATGTCCCATAAAACTCAGAAATGAAAGGGTATTTTTGTAAATAAATACCTGTACATTTGCAACCAGTGGCTGGCAATATCCAAAGCAAGCAAAGACAAGAAAACAAAGCTAGGCCTGGAATGTTAAAAAGCAAGAATGTTAGATGTATGAAAGAAAGTTCAGATATATACATATACAAGTAGAGTAGAATTAAAGGTAAAAAAAAAAAAAAAAAAATTTAAAACCTGTAGACTTGAGAGAGAATAGCCAGAAGACATGCAGTGCTTATCCTGAGAGATGCGAAATTTAGGTTAAATTTAATATGGAATAGAGTTAATGAGCATTAAGAGAAGTTAGAGGGGTAGGTTTAAAAACAAAATGTGAAGACTTTAACAAGAACTTGGTATATCACCTATCTGTGACCATATCCAGAACAGCTCCAAATGTTGAAACTACAAGGGTAAAATAGTAAACAACGGGATTAAATCCAGAGTATGAGAATCCATAAAATGGTGAGAAAGAAAATAAAAAAGATTCTGCACTGTGTAGAATGATTTGCAAGTTATAAGTTCATTGACTAAATTGATTAAATGATGAAAGAACAAGTGTTTTTTGTATTCTGCATGAAATTCTTTTACTGCCTATAGTAAAACTTGCTCTTACCAAAGGTAAAAATGATAGGGGGTGATATTAGAGTAGTCAAAACTCAAGGACTCAGTGTATAAATTCAGATATTTTGATGACAATTAAGTCAATAATTATGGATTACTCCTTACCTTGATTGAATTTGCGTGCAAACCAACCATCCAAGGCATCACAAACAAAGCTGTAACAGCAAAAAATGACCATTTTAATATCTTAACTACAGCTTTTCAAAAAGAAAATGTATCCAAACTACACAACTTCTTTTACATTACCCTTTACCTTATGAAATACAGGATTGAAAAAAGCTCTTTATTGGAAAAGCATATAGCAAAGGCAAAGCAATTCATCAGAACTCTTATGTATCCTGTACATGAAAAATAAGCAGTCAAATCCATCAACATAAAACATAGGATGAATGAAATAAGCTCTTTATTGTTACAACATATCTTATTAGTATCTTGGGAATAAGAGGGAGAGCATGAATGAAATTCTTTGTGGGAGACATTAGCATCTCGATTAGCTAATTCACTTTTTCTTTTGTTGTTTTCAAAGATATTTTGGTTTATTGAATTCGATTGCTATCATGGTTGATATTTTCCATTGTGAGCCCTTTTGGTTGATTTTCTCCATTGTGTGCTTAGCAAGCCATAGCATTACTTATAACTTATAAAGCAGTCCTTCACATTTCAGCTTTTTGAGCAAGTATACAGGAAGAAATAATGAAACTTTGACTTGTGAGAGAGGGTAAATATTTGAGACATGTGATATTATGAGTTAAGAGGTTCTTTAATTCATTGATTGAAGTGTCTTTTGGTATATGTATATCACAAAAAATCATAGGACTTTGACTAGTGAAAGAGGGCAAACAAACTCACCAATGATGTTGGGGATGTAAAGATACACACTTAATGTTCTAGGTCTTGATTTGGATGCCATCTCTACTTCTCAGCCACAAATGAGGGTTGCTGAAATCTGTAGAACCTTAGAGCATTGACAATGGCGAATCGAAGATGGCCTCCGTTTAAAGCAAACCTACGCCCGCCCCATCTCTCCTATTTTGCAGAAGTGGGAATTTTCATTTACGCCCCTCAACTAATGAAAAGTACACTCTCAGTTCTACTAACAAAAAAAACACAAAGAGGAACAATATCAGAAGAAAAAAAAAAAAAAACGAAGTGCAATATCAGAAAAAAAAAAAAAAAAAACGAAGTGGTAAAAAATAAAGTGCTAACTGAACCAAAGAGGAGCAATTTCATAAATCAGTCGACAAGATCAGCAAAGTAAAGCAATATCGGGGAAAAAAACCCCGAGAGAGAGAGAGAAAGAAAGACGAACCTGTTGTTGATACGGCTGGAGTTGGCGGTGGTGAGGGTGGCGACGATCGGAGATGACGCTGGGAGGGTGGCGACGGCTGCAGATGGCGATGGGGATAAGCTTAGTCGGTGGCGAGGTAGACAACGAGAGTGTGCGATGAAAGAGAAGAAAGCAAACAACAGATGCGATGCGTGGGTATGAGCTTAGGGCGTCTTTTATTCTTTCAGATGGGTAAGTGGTAAAATAAACAAACGATACTATTCAATAATGTATTAAAAATTTTAATGTATTAAAATAAATCTACCAGGTATTAAGATATAATCTATTTTGTAAATTTTTCTATAAAGTTTTAATAAATTACCAATACACGTTTTTTTTTTTTTAACCCGCAAATCTAATCTTACTCCTAAGCTAACAACACTTATTTCACATATATCAACGACGGGATTTGAACCTTCGATCTCAAAAAAGGAGGGCACTGTTGGGTAAGCCCTAACCATTTTATATTTTCTTAATTAAATATTAAAATTGTTTATAACTAAAAGTTAATATATAAAAATAAAAAGATTGCTTTATACTGTAACTAAAGAGTTTAATAACGATTAAATCGGTGCAATAAATCTATCAGTAATTATAGATCCATAATGTTGTTAATAAAAAATAATTCTATATTTTTAAATGATAATTTTATCATTTATCGGTCGAGAACACTCAAAGTATTTTATTTTTGTGTATTTATATTTCTATTAATTTATATATTTGTGTTTTAAAATACTTTAAACTAATATTACTATAATTCTATTGTTTTGACGTGCGTGTGTGTGTGTGGGGGGGGGGGATTAATATGAGTCTATTGTTTAATTTTAATAAATAATTAATTAAATGTTCCTGTTTGTATTGATTCAGATAATGTTCCTTAACGTTTTTTTATATTCTATACTACTTTTTCACAAATTTATCCATAGATAATTTTTGTGATTTTATTAGTTGTTCAATATTTTTCACTTCCCAACATCATTATATGTTAACTAATGATAGTAAAATACTAACAGCTAGAAAAGCCAAAATCACGTTGACCAGTGCAATTGTTCTTTGTTTTAAAGACAATTTACTTTTTACTCATTGTTTCTGTCTTTTGGGCTTATATATAACTATACAAAATCATAAGGAAACAAATCACAAATCATGGATGATGCAATTACAGAATCATATAACTAATCACCTAAACAAGTAAACTGCTAAGCTCCTCCATTTTTCAATATACAAAGTATTTGTATAAATGGACAATTGGTCCATGAGGCCACAAGTTGTATATATTTATATTCTTGAACTTCCTTATTTGTATGTGTTTTGTTTCAGGATCACTTAGAATGTAGCAAAGTTGTTTGGAACAACAATGGTGAATGGAAATTAAGAAACAGTTTCATGACAATTGAGATTCACCACACCAAAATGTCAAAATATAACAGCATGAAACAAGAATGAGAATGAAGATTTGATATGTGCATATTTGATCATTTATTTCATATAATATCTTAATACTTTTTGGTCATTTTGTCTCGATTTATGAACAAAAGGTACTTAATTATGTTAAAATTTTATTTTCAGCCTTAAAGATAGACAAAATTGCAAGAATGGTCCCTGTGGTATGTCAAAACTAGCAAGTTTGGTCCAAAATGGGTTTGGCTCGCAAGGATGGTCCAATAGTTTCATTTGTTGCGAGTTTAGTCCAAAAATTTTAAACTTTTTATAATGACGCATTTGCCCTTGGTATTTTCCCTTTTTTATTTTTTTTATTAAAGAAATCAAAAAAATAAAAAGAAAAAAATAAAATCTCTCTCTCTCTCTCTCTCTCTCTCTCTCTCTCTCTCTCTCTCTCTCTCTCTCTCTCCAGAAGACAATCCACAAAACACCATCATCATCTTTTTTACATATTTTCATCTTCTTTAAAAATCAAAATCATGCCCCTAACACATTTTGGGTTTTTTATCAAGAACTCCACATACAAACATATACACACTGAAGAATACTCTTTATAATCAATCTAGAAATCATCAATAATGGATTCACCCACCTGTAATGCCATCGACACCCCTTTACTTCCATTCGTCCTTCAAGCTTGATAACAATCATAGTTCCAAAGGGTTTGTGATGTCGAGATCTTATGAGGCCCTAGTTATTGTGCTAAGCCATCAACTGCCTGCCTCTTATGATCTGATAATGAAGTCATCGATTCCACAATCATCACATATAGGTTAAACTAATGTCATTACCACCTCCGATGAGGTTTCCGACCCAAATTTGGAAGGTTTGTTCCCTCCGAAAACACCTCTAAAATACATGAGAGATAGAGATATCTGATTTTATTGTGTGTGTGTGTGTGTATGTTCATCTGATTGTGTGTGTGTGCTAGATCTAATTTTGTGTGTTCATCAGATTTGGGTGAACTCAAGAACAAACCATAGTCGATGCCGTCAGAATCCTTTCCTCAGCCTCCCTTTCATCTCCAACTCGTATATCCCTCGTTGCTCACTTCTCTGGAGAAGAGAGCCACCACAATCGACTGTGGCAGCTCCTCCGCTTCCCCCTGTCGTGAGCCACCACCATCCAACATCCCAAATCCAAATCCGCAATGGGTGTTCTTCGTTCTTGTTTTGGATCTGAAATAAAACCCAAATCCAAAAGTTGAAGGTAGGTATGTTCTTGGTTCCAAATTTGAAATGAAGATGAAGAAGGGTAGATCTGAAACAAAATCCATACACAAAACCATACCTAAAACGAAACCCCACCATCGATTCGAACGAAAGGCAGATCGACGGGAGCTCCAGTGCGGCTGGGAAATCACGATGAGGTGCAAAGGGGTCCGTCGAGACTGACGACCCTCTGTGGGCTTACTCTTCGTCTTCACTGATCGGGAGAGGGAAGAAGGAACACAAATGGAAGTAGTCAAAATGGTGGTCTAGTGATCAAACAGATCGCGAGAAGGGAGTCGATCTCCGACGAACTCCCATTAGTTCTCTTCTCGTCGTTGGTGGCCATAAATCGAGGGGGAAAGGGAAACGACTGGATCGAAAGGAGAAGGAAGAAGAACAGAAGCAAAACAGAGGTGGTTCTTGGCTGTTCTTCTTCTGGAGAGAGAGAGAGAGAGAGAGAGAGAGAGAGATTTTATTTTTGTTTTATTTTTAATTGGTTTTAATTGTTGTAATAAAAGAAAAATGGAAAATAAAATAATAAGGGGAAATCCATCATTATAAAAAGTACATAGGATATTGGACTAAACTCGCAATAAAAAGAAACTATTGGACCATCCTTGCAAGCCAAACCCATTTTGGACCAAAGTTGCTAGTTTTGACATACCACAGGGACCATTCTTGCAATTTTGTCTTAAAGATATGCTCAGGTGAAAATGGAAGAAGAACTAGCGATTGGAAGCTTGCGAATTAAAGTCTAAATAAATAAAGCTTAAAAGAGGAAGTACTCGGCGAGTTGGCCATCAACTCGACAAGTAAGTCAGAATATTCGCGAACCAGCCGTACCTTACCGTACACGCGATTTAAGTAGAGAACTCGTCGAGTCTGTCTAAGGACTCGACGAGTCGGTGCATAATTATGAAAATCCTTATATATATATATATATATATATATATATATATATAGGTCATTCCCGAAACTTAACGACTGGTTGACGACTTTTAGAGATTTCTTGGAGCTCTGGTTTTCAAGAATTCAACCTAGAGATCAATTTGGAGGAGATCAAAGGCAACATACATACTCTTTTCTTAATATTTTGCATAAACTATGTGTGGATCACTAGATTTCATTTTTAGGATGTTAATTGTTGTAGATATGAGCTAAAAACGCATTACTTCTGTTTAGACTAGATAAACTTAGGAATATGGTTTGATTTTATGGTTTGGATTAATTTAATTTGGTGAATTGTCTTGTTAAGTTTGTTAAACACCCTTATGTGTTGACAATAATTATTTTCTGTTAATTATCGAGTCTATTAAGTTGCATGAACATCTTCTTAATTACTTGAATCATATAATTTTGTGAACACAACATTGTATGCCTAGTATTAGTGAACATGAACGTAGGATTAACTAGAAAATAAGTAAGTTAATGTGTAAGCATGTATAATGAATAACCATACATGAGTTGATTGAATTGCCAAATTTAATTAGCTAATATTACAAGTCTTACTTGATCCGAATCAAAACACTAGAAAACTTGTTAGCTTAACCAATTGGCCATTGTTTGAATTAACCTATTTGCTAAGGATTAGTAATAGTAAACATGAACCTAATCACATTAATCGGTAACCAATGATATATTAATCCATTGCACTTGCCATGAAATCAACCATAGGAATAAGTTAGTCGAATTTGAATAGAAGTCTCTTTTATTATTGAATTTAGTTACCTTCTATTTCCTTTAATTGTTAATTGTTTTTTGTTTGAGTGTTAGTTAATTGTTTAAGTTTCTAGTCTTGCAAAACTAGAGAAAATCCTTCTTTTATTACTTGTTTTTATTTAGATAATTCTAGTAGTTAGTTTAATTGTTACCGTTTCTTGTGTTCGATACCCTACTTGCTAGAACTATATTGTTAATCGATAGGTACAC